AAAAATCACATGATCATCTCAATAGATGGAGAAAAATTTTTTGATAAAATCCAACATTTGTTCATGATAAAAACCCTACAGAAACTCGGAAAAGATGTTAACTACCTCAATCTGATAAAGGCCATCTATAACAAACCAACAGCCAAAATTAGACTAAATAGACAAAAACTGAAAGCTTTCATTCTAAAATGAGGAACACAAGGATGTCCACTATCACCATTCCTATTCAATATATTAGCCAGAACAATCAGACAAGAGAGAGAAATAAAAGGAATAAAGACAAAAAAGAAAGAAGTTAAATTATCACTATTTGAAGATGAAGTCCATCAAGACTACTAGAGATAATAAACAAATTCAGCTGTCTAGCTGGATATAAAGTCAACACTCAAAAATCAATAGCATCCCTGTATACAAACAAAAAACTCACGAAGAGAGAAATTATGGAAATAAAATCTTTCACAATAGCATCTAAAAAAATTAAATACTTAGGAATCAACCTAATCAAGAATGTAAAAGACCTATGTGCCAAAAATTATATTACTTTAACAAAGGAGATCGAACAGGATATTAGAAAACGGAAAGATATCCCTTGCTCTTGGTTAGGAAGAACCAACATTGTGAAAATGGCTATATTCCCACAACCTTTACACAAATTTAACGCAATCCCAAGCAAAATACCATTAACATACCTTACAGATCTGGAGAAAACACTTCTAAAATTCATTTGGAAACAGAAGAAACCTAGAATAGTAAAGGCAATTCTGGGCAACAAAGGCAAGATAGGAGGCATCTCAATTCCTGACTAGAAACTAGACTACAAAGCTACAGTGATAAAATCGGCATGGTACTGGCAAAGAAATAGACTTGAGGATCAATGGAACAGATTAGAAGATGCAAACACAACTACAAAGACACTCAACCACCTGATATTTGACAAAGGGGCTAAACATGTTCACTGAAAGAAAGGTAGCCTCTTTAATAAATGGTGTTGGAAAAACTGACTTTTCACATGCCAAATACTGAAACTAGACCCATGTGTGTCACTATGCACTAAAACAAACTCAAAATGGATCAAAGATCTAAATATTAAAACAGAAACACTAAATCTATTGGAAGACAAGATAGGTATAAATCTTGGAGACTTAGGGGTAGACAAAGAATTTATGAGCAAACCACAAACCCCATGGGAAATACTTCAAAGAATCAACAACTGGGATCTCATCTCATTAAAAAGATTTACCTGTCAAAAGAAATCACTAACAAAGTGAAATGAAAACCCACAGAATGGGAAAGAATTTTAACTAGCAGTCCCTCAGACAAAGGACTTATATCCACAACATACAAAGAACTTAAAAACATTAAGCACCCCAAATTCAAAGGTCCTCTCCAAAAATGGGCATCTGAGATGAACACACATTTCTCAGATGAAGATATACAAATAGCAAATAAATACATGAAGAAATGTGCAACATCACTGGTCATTCAAGAAATGCAAATTAAAACAGCACTGAGATCTCATCTCACCCCGGAAAGAATGGGTGCCATTAAGAAATCAACTGATAACAAATGTTGGCGAGGCTGTGGGGAAAAAGGAACATTTCTCCACTGTTGGTGCAGTGTAGACTGGTACAGCCACTGTGAAAATCAGTATGGAGATTCCTCAAAAAACTAGGACTGGAAGTTCCCTTCAGTCCAGCTATTGCCCTCCTGGGTATTTTCCCATAAAAACTGAAAAGGTCATGTCTCAGCAATACATGCACATCCATGTTGATAGCAGTGCAATTTTTAATAGCTAAGTTTTGGAAACAATCCAAATGCCCATCATGGATGCACAGAATAGATGAAAAAAATGTGGTATTTTTAATACAATGGAATATTACTCAGCTATAAAAAGGATGGTCTTAAGGTTTATAGGTAAACAGAGACAACTTGAGACTATCCTCATAAGTGAAATAAATCAGACTTACATTTTTAAATATCATATTGTCTCCCTAGTGTAAAAAATAAAAAATGAAAGAGTAATAAGATCTAGAATATATGATATTGTGATAATGAAAGGGAAAGAAAGTGCTCTAAAGGATATAACTGTATGTATGTTTAAGTGTGCAAGATAGATAACCATACTACTAAGCTTTTGTTAGTTCATCAAACAGAATGTTTTGTAGTGTCATTGTTTGCCTGTCTACTTCTTATGCTTTGATTTTGTGACTTGAGCAACTACTTCTAAGATAATATGTAATTTATCAACTAGTGACTTCTTACTAGATTTTTTTGCAACTGTGTACTATTTCTACCCTTTTTTGTTTTGTTTTGTTTTCTAAATTAAAAAAGTCAATAGCCTTTCTTTACACAAACAACAAAGTCAGAGAGAAATCAAGGAAAAAATACCTTTTACAATAGCATTCAAAAAAAAATAGGAATCAATCTCAGAAAGGAGGTAAGACATCTACACTGAAAACTATAATACCCTGGAAAAGAAGATTAATGAGGATATTAGAAAATTGAGACATGTCCCATGCTCTTGGGTAGGAAGAACCAATATAATGAAAAAGCCCATACTTCCAAAACTGTTATACAGATTAAATGCAATCCCAATCAAAATTCTAACAGGAAATCTCCCAGAATTAGAGAATACAATCCTAAAATTCATCTAGAACTTGAAGAGACCTGGAATAGCAAAGGCAATCCTGAACAACAAAGACAAGACAGGGGGTATCCTAATTCCTGACTTGAAATTATACTATAAAGCTACTGTGATAAAAACAGCATTGGACCGGCAGAAAGCAGACCCAAAGATCAATGGAATAGATTAAAAGATGCAGAAACCATTTCAGACACACTAAGCCATTTTATTTTTGACAAAGGTGCCAAACATATTCAGTAGTGTCTTTAATAAATAGTGCTGGAAAAATTGGCTCTATACATGCCACAGATTAAAACTGGACCCATATCTTTCACTATGCACTAAGCTAAAGTTGGAATGGATCAAAGATACTGTTATTAAAACAGAAACATTAAATGTGCTGGAAGACAGAAGGCAAAAATCCTGAAGACACTGGGGTAGGCAAAGACTTTATGAACAAAACCCTGATTGCACAGAACACAAAGGATCAACAATGGGGATCTCACCATATTGAAAAGCTTTTGTACAGCAAGAGAAACCACCAACAGAGTGAAGAAACAACTACACCATGGGAGAAAAAGTTTGCCAGCTGTTCCTCAGACAGAGGATTACTATCAAGAACATATAAACAACTCATAAACATCAGTCCTCCCAGATTTAAAGACCCAATCCAAATGTGGGAAGCTGAGATGAATACACACTTCTCGGGTGAAGAAATACAAACAATAAATAAATATGTGAAAAAATGTTCAACATAGTCGTTCAAGAAATGTAAATTAAAACAACATAGATTCCACTTCACCACAGAAAGAAATTCTACTATCAAGAAATTAAGCAGTAACAAATGCTGGAAAGGCTGTGGGGAAAAAGGAACCCTTTTCCACTATTGGTGGGAATGCAGACTAGGGCAACCACTGTGTAATTCAGTGTGGAGATTTCTCAGAAAACTAGTACTAGAGAGGTTCCATTCAACCCAGATATCTGGGTTCTTCTGGGTATCTTCCCAAAAGAATTAAAAACATCATACCACAGTGATATAGGTGCACTCATGTTTATAGCAGCACAATTTTTAATAGCCAGATTTTGGAAACAACCTAAATGCCCACTGACTGAGGAATGGATAAAAAACATGTGATATTTTTATAAATTGAAGCACACTACTCAGCCATAAAGGATAAATTGGAGACTTTTATAGTAAAATGGATACAACTTAGACCATACTCATTAGTGAAATAAATAATACACACATGGGTAAACATCGTATTGTCTCAGCATCAGTAGCTAAAAGAAGCAACATATGTATAGGTGTATGTATATGTACATAAAAACAATATAGTTATACTGATGATTTCTCTGAGTTCACTGAAAAGAAAGATTTGTGCTGGTACTGTTCAGACAACTGAATGCAGATGGGCTCTGAGTGAATCATTTGAAGATTACACTGTGCAATGTATGTTCCATTGCTGCTCCCTGGTTGATGTGTTTTGAAATTTTGTTTTAGTTTTTTTACTCTTGTTTTTTATTTTTCTCCTTGAAATAAAATGGATTTGGAAAATAAATAAAAAGAAGAAAAGACAAAAATCACATGATTATCTCAATATATGTAGAAAAAGACTGACATTACCTGACATCTTTTATTGGTTAAAAAAAAAACCTCAATTCATTTATCTCACCATGTACTGAAGAAAACAGGTATAAAAGGACTTTATCTCAACATGATTAAAGCCATTTATGAACAACCCATTGATAACATCACATTAGATCAAGAAATAGTAAAAGCCTTTCATCTTACAATCAGATAGTTATACTATTGATTTCTCTGAGTTCGCTGAAGAGAAAGGTATGTGCTGGTATTTTTCGGACAACTGAATGTAGATGTGCTGTGCTCTTGTTAAATGATTTGCACTATGTATGTAGCATTGTTGCCCCGACTGAGATGTTATGGGAGAAAAGAAAGTTCATTGGATTAGTATGAACCACTAAGTGTTGTATAAACAAAGCAGTTTTCTATTTTTTGTGTAGTTATTCTTTTCCTTCTCACATGAAAATAAGTACAAAATGTATCTTTAAAAATAGATGATTTGGGGCCAGGCATGGTGGCTCACACCTGTGGCTGACATAAGAGGATGGCCATGACTTCAAGTTCAGCCTGGTCTCCATAGTGAATTAAAGGCCAGCCTGAACTACATAGTGAGACCCTGTCTCAAAAACAAAAACAAAACACTTAATATCAGTTCCAATTATTTTAAAATAAATCATAAATCCCAGGAAAAAAAGTGATAATTCTGCGACTCAATTACATGGCAACTGCAATCTAACCCATCATTGTGTCAGACACCTTACAAAATGCTATTGTCTAGAAAAGCACTGGATTTACCTGCTGGAAGGCTTGAATTGTAGCAGAGTACGAACGAAGAGAGAGACAAAATTTCAACAAATTCTGCTGTAAAGGTGATAGAAACGGAAATGCTGCTTCCAATATTGCATGATAATAGGAATAATTAGTACCTACCAAGAAAGAAAATGAATCTAAATAACTCAGTATAACTAGTAGTAGCCAAATAAAACAGTTCATAAAGCTATAGGTTACAAAGGTATGTATCCAAAAAATTTTATCAGTATGTGATTTATTGTCTTGAACTTTCGTTCAATGTTCAAAATATCCTGGATATGGAATGCAATTGAACATTTTCTTCCTCTCTTTGTCCCAACTATTTCCTTTCTCTAAACTGCTATTTTCCCACCTACCTGAATAACTACCTACCTACTACCGAAGGAAGAATTCGGCTGTGAAACTGCCTCCTCTAGGAAGTCACCCTGATTCCTATCCCATGCTACAATGGACTAGTGACAGCTCTTCTTGAATCCCAGAATAGTTCTTTGCTGAGTTGTTTCACTTACATCATTTATGAAGTATTTTGCAGTTTAGAGTACTGCTCTGTGACAGTATATATGCTTAACTTGCATGCGGCCCTAGTACCTAAAATAATTAGAGAGTCTGGTTTGTGTTGGCTCTTCTTGGCCAGCATTGTAGCTCTAGACATTAAAGACTAAAAATACGCTTTCTATTAACTGCCACATAACACATACTACAAAAGATAACACTTCTAATATTTTCCCAGACACCAAAGTCAAAGAAGCATTTGCTTCAATTTTACCGTGATGATCTGATGATCCAATATTTTGACTGGCTTCTACAAAATTCCAAAATTTCTCTTGACTGTCTTCTGCTAAAAACTCACTGGGAGAAAAAGGGAAAATGTTAGAAATAAAATTTAATAAAAACCTTCTAATAAACTTATTACTACCGAGCATATAAAGAAATTTCCAAATTTCCAAAAGTCCATCATTTGGCTTTTAATTTATATACGTATTTTTATGTATATGTTTTTCTTAAAGATAAGTCTTCCTAGCTTATTAGTTATTACTAACTTACTAGCTTAATAACATTTACTTCACATCTATTTAAGAACCCAGAAGTAATAAAAGTGTTTTAACAACAGAGAAGTTCCAATAATAACAAAAATGCTGTCAACAGTAGAAGCAGAGTTAGAAATTAATAACTGTATTACTACTTCTGCTCACTTATTTTCTGAATGATCTTACAAAGAACAAAACTTACATTTTGCCCAAAGATTTTTCCACAGTAAATATAAACCCTAGAAAAAGTTCTAGGAGGCTAAAGGCAACATGTTATAATTTTTTAACATCTATAAATCTAAATTTTTAAGATAATCAGATTTATTTCAAATTAACACTGATCTAACAAAATCAGATCTAAAACGTTAATACCATCTTAATCTTTTTCCACTTTGCATTATTTACCTAAAATAATAGCTGTTGTAAATGGCCCTTCATTCAAGAGTCTAAAATCCCTAAAATAAAACATCTATAACTGAATGAATGATTCATGTAATTGGTCAGCTTCACTTCCAGCCCAGAGAACTAATGTAGTGGTAGTCTTTGACTGTCTTAAAGCAAACTACAGATCTGGATCTCAGCTTACCTAGCCAAAGGCAGACTTTCCCATTACTTGTCAACATGGGGTGTACAACTCTCTCTACTCCACAGCTAGACACAGAAATATGGGAAAAATAAGAAACATTTCCTGGTAATGCACAACTTCTCTAAAAGTAGGTATCTGAAAATACCTATTATCATAATGTATTAAACTATTTAATGCCTCTGTATTTCTCTAGGCTTTCTAGAATAACTGTAAAATAGTTTACAGTCTAAGAAAACAGTTTCTGAGTCATGATGTGTAAATAAACACTAAATCTGTAAGTTAAGCCACATCTACAATATAAGTTAGTTGTGGTGGGAACAAGGACTCATCCAGGCTAAATGCATGTTTTTCTTATAAGAAATTTTCTTGAACCATTGTTTTTTTTTCATCTCACTACATAAGTAACTCTCACGGGTCTAAGTTGAGAACAGTCATAAGAAAATTACTATTAGATCCACAGAAATAATTACAGGGAGAAGAGACTAATGGAAAACATCATGAATAAAGGAACACTGCCATTTCTTTCACAGTATAATAAATATTTCATTTTTATTTTGTTTTTAGCTTTATACCTGTGCCTCTCAGTAAAACTCTAACAGTTTTGCAGATAAATTTAAAATATGCCTTTAAAATACACCCCTGAGGTAGAGGAAAGGGTGACAGTGGTTACTGTACTTGAACTGGTAACTGTTAAAAGTCACTAATGGGCTAGGGTGGTGATGCATACTTATTACTCCAGCTTTCTGGGAGGCTGAAAAGGGCAATCACAAGTTCAAGTGACTGAGATCTGTCTCAAAGAAAACCTAGTAAATAAAAAGGCTGGGATGTAGTTCATTGCAATTCCCTGGGTTCAACCTCCAATATTAGGAATGAATAAATAAATAAATAAATAAATAGACTGCTGGGCATGTGAAGAACATATACAATTATCTCCATTTATAAGCATTTTGCAAAGTCCTAATAAAGTTTGCCATCTATGACTCCCTGCTGTCCCTATAAAAAACCCTATGAACAACCTGAATGCCCAACAGGCAGCACAAATCTGGTGGTTCTTCTAAATAGGACTCAAAAAGGAAGGGAAAGAAACATCTTAAGGAAAGTCTTTGATGTAACAGTTACCAGGCTCATTACATGAACGTGTATCCACAAATTCACACAACCACCCTCAGTTATAAACATTTTCAAAATAAGCTGCCACTCAGAGACACTATGCACTTGCTTAGGGCACATAGGCAGTAAATGAAAGCACAGCCTAAAAATGTTCACAGGAATATTGTTGGTCCCTAAGGGATAGACATGAGGCCAACACAAGGTCTCTGATAACGACATGCCTTCATGTGCAGACAAAGATTCTGCCCCTTTACCTTTACCCAGAAGGTCAGGCAGCCACAAGCCATCATCAGACATAGAAGAGCAGCAGCCTCTGCAACCTCTAGAAGGAAACATGGAGCACTTTCAAATAAGCAGAGCTCCTTCCTAAGTTGCCTACAAATCCTACTATGTTGGCTACAGGTTTACAAATAGCCACAAAACAGAGAGACAATGACCAGGGACATCATGAAAAGAGGTATTTGTGATGCAGAATTTGGTGAAGGAATTTATAGCCTAACCACTTTACAATGACTAAAACAACTGAAAAAACCTGAGGAACTGGGATTGACAATTTTGGCATGCTTTCTCAAAAGTCCACAAGTACGTTATAAGGCTCCTTTAAGACAAAATACAAATCCCAAACAAACTAATAGCTGTCCATACAAGTGAGAGAAGTCAACGTAACTCAGCTAAGCATGTTTCAAGCAGAATATCATGAAACATCTATTATGGTTAATTGTTCAAAATTACACCAAAAATGATAATAAATCTCAATGGATGAGATTTACATCAAATTATTCAAAATAGGGGCTGGGGATTTAGCTCAGCAGCATAAGCACCTGCCTCGCAAGCGCATGGTTGTGAGTTTGATCCCCAGTACCAATAAAAAAAAAAAGTATTCAAAATACCATTCAGATAGGAAAAGTAAAACAAAATAGAACTTCAGTTACCAGAGTCCTGGCTCAAGCAGTCTAGGACCACCAACAACCCTCATTCAGCCACTTCACTTATACATCTACTCCATAATCCAATGAAGAAATACCTGAGGAGCTCAACCCATCTATCATTGCAAAGCCATGATGAATGCACACAATGGTGCTAGGACATGTTCTAGTGGAATTCTCTTGCTTTTTGCCATGTCATTGCTAAGCAAAGGGAGGCACACAGGCGCATGGAAGGAGTCTGCTCAACAGAAAGTCCACTGGACAGAGTGTGCCGGGATCAGCTCCCACTGCTCCCCTCCCCATGGGTCTTCTTCCCCACACCAAATGAGGTTCTTCCTTGGCAGGGCAACTACCCACATAATCAACATAACACACCACTTGATTCATATGTTTTACGGAATTAAGGAAGAAAAGTTAAAGAGCAAAGTTCTAAGCTGAAGACAACACAGACAACCAAATCAAATGAAGTGGCCTGACAGTTCAAATTTCTACTATCAAACACAGAGAATTACAAGTGCGTGCTATATAATCTATTTAATTTATCCTTTGGAAAGAGTCCTTAAATCCTAACCACACATTATTTGTGATACAATGAAAATAAGTTCCTGTGCACAAGAATATAAAAACTGGCTGTAAAAGGAAATATCTCAGCAAAGTATGGTAGATAACATTCGTAATCCCAACACTCTGGGAAGCTGAGGAACAAGATCCCAAATATCCCAACTTAGGCAACTTTGTGAGACCCTAACAGAGAAAAATGACTATAGATGTAACACAACATGAAGCCCCTAGGTTCAATTCCCAATACTGAAAAAGGGGGAAAAAAAAAAAAAAAAGGAAGTATCTTATGATATGTATATTATAAACACCAGCTAAAAAGCACACTTGGAATTGAAAATGTCCCCAAAAAATCATTGACTATATTGTATCTTATCAATTTAAAAACATATAATGCTACCAATATTAACTGCTAAGGTGGTTTCTTGGTTTGATTTTGTAGAGGTTACAATGTATAACACAGAGCCCTTAGGACAGATAACACCCGGTCACTTCCTCCACCATGCACCTGAACTCCTGTGCTCTCCTGAAAGATTCTGTATCCTAACAGCCATTATACGACACAGAGCACATTAATAAGTATATCTGAGAATCATAATATCATTCCTAAAAGCTGCTAAATATTTGTTCATTTCCTGAAACAGTCTATGTTTATATTCAAATATCTGAAAGAAAATAAGGTCTTCTTACCTGACTTCTAACAACAGTGGGGAGGAAAACCACTTTGTTGTGAGAGAGGTTGTAACGGCTTTTGAATCTGCTTTTACTGAGGAGAACAGCCACAGCACACTGAGTGCAATTAGAAGCCCCATTTGACAGCAAAGCCCTAATAAGAGAAAAAGGTCATGTTTAAATCTTAATACTTAGAGACACAAAATAACAATCTTAATACCTAGAGATAAAAAAAAAACATTAAAGTTGCAAAAACAGGACCACTTTTAAACAGTATTAGCACTTAATACATAGTCCAACAGATACTTGCTGAATGACTGGTACATAGTTAAAGGTAGGTGGTTCATTACATTCTATAGAGGCTCCACCTCATTTCCTAGGGAGTCTACACAACAGAGCAGTAGAAAGGTCAGTTGGTGGCACAAGCTTTACCCAAGAATGTTTTATAAAGCATGAGGTAAATAAAGCTGAAACAGATAAACATACATAAATGAGTGTTGTGGGTTGCATTTTATCCTCCATGAAAATAAGCTTAATTGCCAAATCCTAGTCCCTCTGGACGTGAACTTCTTTGGAGACGGGGCCTTCACAGAAGTGAGCACATTAAGATGAGGTCATTAGGATGTGCTAATTCGACATAACTAGCATAATAAACAAGGGAAATTGGGACACAGTGATAGACTCACAGGGGGAAACAATATGAAGAGACACAGGAAGAATGCCAGGTGAAGACAGAGGTAGACCCCACAGTCACACTGCAAGTCAAGGAATGACTGCGGCGACCTTGAAAAAGACCAGGAAGGATCACCTAGCATTTCAGAGAGATTCACGGAACACTACTCAGGACTTATAGCCTTCAAAACTATGAAACAATCAATTTCTGTTGTTGTAAACCATGAAGTTTGTGATACATTGTTATGACGGCCTTAGAAAACCAGTAGGACTTTCACAGACAGGTTTCTCCAAAGAATACATGTAAGGTTCAAATCCTCAGTCCCACAAGTAAAACATAAATAAATATGAATTGCTGGCTGTGCATAATGACCCTGCTACTAAGGAGGGTGAGGCAAGAGGATTAGAACTGCCTGAGCCTGGGAATTCTAGGATAGCCTGGCTGAAACGTCATGTAAGAGAAGGAGAGAGAGTAAAGAGAAAGTTAACATCCAGGCCCCAAGAGGATGAGAATATGTGAGATTAGTACCTGATATGGCTTTTCCCAGTTTCACCCCAATTCATCCAAAAATAATAATAATTTGTTAAACAAATTAGTGAAAACATTGTTTTTTATAATATATAGTCTCTGAAAAACAACAGTCGAAAGCAAAATCAATATAGCAAATAGATCAATTAAGCAAAAAGTGGCTTTTAAAGAGTTTTAAGTCCTGGCACTATCAGAATTAATGGGGAAAAAATATGAATAACACATTTATAAATAAAGATGCCCAAAAGTATTTTTAAAAAATCAACAGTTATAAAGCCCACTACAGAGACTCCGCAGAAACAAAAGAATCTATAAGCACAAAATAAAATCTACTGAAAACAGACCTGACTAAACTAGAGCTTTGACAATGAAACCTACTAGCAATGATGCCAGGCTGAGGCAGAAAAAGAGGCAGGTTTCTCTTAGAACCTTCTAGTATTATGACATTTCCTGAAGAGAAACAAGCAAGGAAACATACAGCTTCAAGTCACTCAAGAACTCCTAGGATTATTCAGACACCATCTTTCACAGGAGCCTCAGAATCCTGCTCCTCATGGTTAGTAAAGAGAAAGCCTATCAGAGTCAAGTGAGCTGTGATCAACCCCTGTGTTTGTTACTTATCAGCAGTTTAACCAAAAGCAAGTCACCTAACTTCTCAGGCTATTTATCACCTGGACTATAAAACAGGAATAACAATACCCACCACAAACAGTCACTGAGAAAATGAAATGGCAATCTGAAAATTGCTTTATAAAGTGCCAAGTACTATCTAGAACTGATCCTTATAGGAAAACATTTTACCACAAGAAAAACAAACTAGGGCCAGGGATAGAGCTCAAGCAGCACAAGTGCTTACCTGACAAACACAAGGTCGTGAGTTCTAAGGTATACCAAAAAAAAAAAAAGCAAACCATCTTCTAAACCATACCATGGCATAGTATCAAACACATACTTCGGAAACAAATCCTCTGTCACTAAGAAGAAATAAAAATCCATCCCAAAAGTCACTGAGTTTCTGAACTGGAGACAGTGTGAACAGTATTCAAGCTTTATGATTCTGGCTATGTTTACAATTTGTCCTAATGGAGCCTAAAAATATAACTTCCACAAAGTGGTGATTCATGATGAATGACAGTTGACCACCACCACACAGTAACTCCAGGCAGACAGCAGGTAGAGTGAGTGATAAGGGAACTAGTGGCAGGACAAAAGGCTCCTCTGGAAATTCTACCCTTTACTGAGCAATGGGCAAGCTTTACCTAATGTTCACAAACAGTAACTGGGGACTGAACTTCCCTGAGAGTTGTAATCATGTTGACAAGTTCCGCAGTACCAAGCCACAAAGACTGACCGAAATATTCAGTGAATATTTTTCTAAAAATTATAGTAAAAGACACATTGCATTAATCCCCTTTAAAATATTCCCCTCCCTCCCTTCAAATATACATATCCTCTCAATCTTGCTACTTTCTGAAGCAGTTCTAAAAGTCCTCTTTTGTGTCTTTATGAAGTGTGATCAAAAATTATTGTGAATGCTGTTGTCAAGTAACATACAATGGAAAGGCAAGCTCACAAAAATACTATGATGTATTTTCATTCATTTTATTCACCAGACCTGGCACCATGCAACTTCTAGTTCTTCCCCAAAATCAAAATGGCTGTGAAAGGTAAAAGTTTATAACAGATTCTGGATATCAAGGCAGCCAGGACAGAACAACTAAAGACACTCACAAAAGCAGCCTTCCAAAAATTGCTTCAGTGTGAAGGCCCTGGGTTCAATCCCCAGTATAATCAAAGAAAGAAAAGAAAAGAAACAAAGAAAAAGACAACCCTACGTGCACATGACTTACCCAGACCCTTGTACTGTTTTACAAAGAGAGTATGTATTCTTAATGTGGAGAACAGCACCATTCCAAAAGATTAGTGGACAGCTATATATCAGAGCTTTTGGTGGCACATTCCTGTCATCTCAGTATTCAGGTATCTATGAGCCTAGCCTAGGCTACACAGTGACCAAGTGAGTCACTGTTGCAAAATCTAAAAATTAAATAAAGCCACTGGATGTAGCTCAGCTGAAAGACCCTAGGTCTACTCTCCAGTATCAAGAGGGCAGGCTGGAGAAGGAATAGGAGGAGGAACAAGAACTCTACCAACCTGACCCCACATTTTTTATTCCACAGGGAATAAAAGAGAAAAGGGATGTCCAGGGAAACTGGTAAGAACCTCACTGAAGGGGTCTAGTTTGAGGATACGACACCTTCACTTTACGGGGTCCCTTTATCATTCTGACACTAGTGGTCCTAAATGCATAGCCTGAGTAGTAACAACTGTTACACTGTGCCATGCAGCACTCCAAGGTCACAGGCACACTGCCAGTGGATGACACATTACCATAAAACATTAACAACTGTGTCAACTATTGGTAAACTGGCTAAAACTCTACCTGTAAATGTCTAGTATATTTAAATAAAACTATTATTTCTTGCTTATTTATCTAAAGTAAGCTATAGAAAAGATAAATGAAAATTACGTATGGTAAATTCTTTGCACATTTGGGGAAAAAACAGACACAATGATTCTAAAATCTAAGTCATCAACTTTTTCTTCTTTCATTTTTAAACTGAAGAGCTAACAAACCCTTTAAAAACAACACACAATCTGCAAGTTTGTAAGTGTGCACCTGAGTTTCAACACAGTTCAATGAGAAAATATTACGAAGCACCCTTTTTTGAGAAATAAACTTCTCCACCAACTAATCCTAATACACATCCATATTAGCTGAACTATTTGCTGTGACCCACATACACCTGACTTCAGTTAGTCACCGTACACCTGATACAAAAATGATTAGATAACTGCAGAAACGTTCCAAATGAATGTTCTTCATAGTCCCGTGTATTGCCCTTGTTGAAGATATTGTTTACTTCCTTAAATAAATTGGATTTCAGTTAAGCATACGAAAAGTTAGTAAAGGGGAAAAGCCATTATCATCTCCAGTTCTGTTGCATTCACTATTTAAAATGTGTTCAAGCCGGGAATAGTGGCACAGGCATGTAATCCCAGCACATAGGAGGCTGATGCAGGAGGATTGCCCCAAGTATAAGGCTAGCCTGGGTTGCATACTGATTGGGCCAGCCTGATCTACACAGCGACATCCTGTCTCAAATAAAATAAAATAAATGCTCAAACCCCTGATATTTCAAGAAAAAGGGCCTTTATATAAAATTGGCTAGCAAGTGAACCAATGAATGACTTCAAAGAGCAGTAGGTCATAAGATCCCTGGTCTTGGAATGAACAAAACATGACCCTTTTCAAATCTGGCAGCAAATGCTAAAGATGCTACAGCTTTCAACCAAGGAACAAGGTCAGTTCCCATCCATAACTTTTGGCGATGTATGCAGATCTTAGGCTTCTGGCAGGCCCCACATGCTAAAAAATGAAACCAGCCAACAGATCTTCTTAGGCTTCTGGCAGGCCCCACATGCTAAAAATGAAACCAGCCAACAGATCTTCTCATCCCCAGCCAACAGATCTCTGCGATAGATGGAAAGTACAAGGAAAATAGAAACCTATATAGGGACCAAGCAGTTATCCAACCACTCCCGCTAAGTGCAGGTTCTTAACCTACTTCGGGTTAGGTTCGTTCTAAATTCGCCTCAGGGCACTTCCTCCTAATGCACTTGGGCAACAGGGCTCTGGAAGCTCCTCACAGCCGGCTCAGGCAGCGCACAGCCACGCCGAGAACACGCGCCTCGCGGGGAAGAACACTACGGGTAAGCTGGGTGCTCGCGAACGCGCCGCGAGGCGCGAGGGGAATCTGAGGGTAGAGGCGGAAGCTCAAGGTGACCTGGGTACAGGGTCGTCTGACGACCCAGACCCTCTCCCTACCCACGAGGCCTCCCAACGCCACCCTTGGGTACCTGTCACCGGCCGCACAGCCGCGGCTCGCACTCTGCTCGCGTTCCCCTTGCAGCCCATGCAGGAGCCGCACACCGTCCACTCCAGCGCCTACGACAACGCCAGGGCGGGGCAGGGCAGCGGCGGCGGCGGCGGCCGCTGCGCCAGTGAGAAGCCGACACGCGCCTTTCCCGCGGCTCGCCTTGGCGAGCCGGTCTCTCAGAGAAACACCCCGGCTGCCAACCGTTCGTACTTCCGCTTCCGAAAAGCGAATGCCGGAGGACTTCCTGCTACGGAGTAGCGACTCAAGCAGCCCAGAGCGTCGCGAGGCCGCCATCTTACCCCGGCGAAGCCCTGCCTCTTCATCGCTCCAGCTCGCTGGTGAGGCGAGGGCGGCTGCGCGTAGCCAAGATTTTGGGAAAGTGGCTAGGACCGATGACTGAGACCGAAAGCTTCACCAAATGGGGGTTTTGACTGCCCCCACTCCGCAATTTAGACTCTGAAACTTACTCCCTTACGCCTTTCTGTTAGAAGCACTGTGAGACAATAAAGGATGACTTGTTTTAATATTTCTGAGTATCTTGGACTTTCCTAAAACTTGGTAACTTTGTTGCAGAAAGTATGGTGGGGGTACTAAATTATATGAGCAGGTTCTTTTATGCGGGCACTCACATAGTCTACAGGGATTACACTGTCCTTTGTATTTTTTTCAAATTTAGATCAATATAAAATTTGTCTTAGAATATGAGACACTGGGCAAAGCATTCTACGAACCCAAAAATGAGTATCTCTTTGGAGGGTATATTTTAACCAGTAAGTCAAAGTGAGCTAAAAATCAAAAGTATGTTCAGAAAGATGCAATTATATTAAAAGGATATAATTGTTACATTTATGGGTTTTGGGGGTTTTAACTTTTTAAAAATTGTATTAGTATATGTCTACAATACACACTGCTCACAATGATCTTGAGGAGTGGGTACATGTACATACTACAGCTTTCTTTTTTTATCCTCTTCTCTCCCCCGCCCCACATTCCTATATCCTGACTCATTTTTAGTGATATTATTCATCTTAGCTCATGATTTTGCGAGACAGGGTCTTGCTATGCGATTCAGGCTGGCCTTGAACTTGTTACTGACTTTTAATTATGACACAATCCTTTCCCTAAGAATGCTAGACTAAAACCTTTGTTTAGTATAATAGCTGAGTATTTCTGCTGTGCTGCTAGGGATCAATGAAACTTACTCACTTAGGCCTTTCTGTTGAAAGCACTGTGGCACAATAAAGGATGAGTTGTTTTAACGTTACAGTCTTAATATGTATTTCCCTAAAGGCTAATAATGTGGAACATAGTTTCATGTGTTCATTTAGCATCTGTTACGGTTTCTATTGAAATGTCCCCTGAAGCCTCCTGCAATCATAGCATCATGGTTGGCTTCAAGTCAGGAGGTAGAGCCTGATCCCAGGAGATGGGTCCCTATTGGCATGGCCCAGGTTAGACAGAATCACCTGGGCTCTTCCCTTCACTCTCCCCTAGGCCACCATGAGGTAAGCAGCTTTTTCCTCCACCACACTCCTCTGCAATACTGTTTGTTCTTTGGAGCCTGCTGACCATGGACTAATATATAGGCCAAAATAAATCTCTCACCCTTCATCATATTTATTTATTTAGAGGTAGGTATCACTATGTAGTTTAGGCTGATCTTAAACTCACTACCCCAGGCTGTCCTCATTGATCTCCCAAACTTGTATACCCAGTGCTGGTATCACAAGCATGCACCACAACACCCAGTTCACTCTCTCTCTTCTTTAACTTGTAGGGATTGGGTTCTGAGTCCCCATGAGGAGTAAAAGGCCTAAAACATAACTTCCGTGTGCTGTGGGGAAATGCCTGTTTAAGACCAAAATAGCAAAAGCAATCCTGAGTGACAACAGTGTTATAGTTTATACATTGTGTCAACCTGACAACCAGACACTTTTTTAAATCAGTATCCAGATACAAAGACATGCTTATAATTACTCCTAACATGTTATAACTATACGGCATACAAATGGAAATGTACTAATTCCTCACCAGAGTAGAAGGTGAGTTTTCCTTGGGTGATACTCATTCTTCTCATTTCACAACGGGACTATTTTAACACAGCTTAACAATCCATAAGAACCACTGTTCTACAACCATATTAATTTAAGGTAGAGATAGTACAATTACAATCTTCTGATCATGGAGTTGTAGCTGATATTTAGAACTGCCTTCTTCACTACCCATTCTGTATTTCCTAGGCCTTCAGCAAGCACCTCAGCAGGTCTTGGTTCTTTTATTTGGTTCTTTCACTTGGTTCTTTCACTGGTAGAGTGACCCATACCTTCATTCCTGAAGGCTCTGGGCCATTTGTCTGCCTATATTAGGTTGCTGTAATTTCCTGTTGACTTTTTTTTTGGAGACGTCTCCCTAGGCAGTTCAGGCTGGCCTTAACTTTGTAGCCCAGGCTGGTCTCAAACTGGAAACGATCCTCCTGCCTCAGCCTCCCGAGTGCTGGAATTACAGGCATGAGCCACCACGCCTGGCGTCCTGTTGACTTAAAAACAGAGCATGACAGTACTACAGTGACTCTAAGGGATCTCCCGCACTCCACATATATTCTTCCTTTCTTCCATTGTGGAGAGCAGTCCAATTTCCACTTGACAGTCTGAGTGCATCGCTCCTGACAACACTGTGACTCTCTCTGCAGCTTCTTTCCTCAGAGGCAAGAGGAGACCAAAATGACTAGGGGAAGTCTTAGCTTCCAGTTCAATGGTATCATTGTTGTGCTTCCTGGTACAAGCTTCCCCTTTTCTGGAGCTAAGACTTCTAGGCCAGCAGAACATGAAGTCATGCGGACAGGAAACAAAAATTTTGCTAGTGGATCACTGAGGGTAATGGTGAGTGGTACCATTCCTACTTCCACCCCTTGATTCCTGGACCCAGGAATCCTGGCTATGGGAGACACACTGCAAAATAGTAGACACTGATTCAAAGCATACCTGGCCTTTTGAAGTACCTTAGCCCAGCCCGCAAGCTATTACTACCTAGCCGGTGCCTTAACTGTGTCTTCAAAAGACCATCCCATCTTTCTATCAGTTCAGCTGCTTCTGGATGGTGAGGGACCTGGTAAGACCAGTGAATTTCATGAACATGAGCCCATTGTCTCACTTCTTTGGTCAGAAGCAATGCTATGTGGAACGTGACAGTGAGTAAAGCATTCTGTGAGCCCACAGATGATAGTTTTGGCAGAAGCCTTACATGCAGTAAATTCAAATCCATATCCAGAATATATATCTATGCCAGGGAGGACAAACTGCTGCCCCTTCCATTAGAAAAATAGACCAAAATGATCAACCTGCCACCAGGTCACAGTTTCGTCTCTCTGGGGAATGGTACTATATCGAGGACTCAGTGTTAGTCTCTGCTGCTGGCATATTGGGCACTCACCAGTGGCTGTAGCCAGATCAGCCTTGGTGAGTGGGAATCCATGTTGTTGAGCCCATGTATAACCTCTATGCCCACCACCATGGCCCCTTTGTTCATGCACCCATTGGTTGGCTAAAGGTTGACCACTATGCAAAGAATGGATCATCTTATCCACTTGATTATTAAAGTTCTCTTCTGCTGATGTCACCTTTTGGTGAGCATTTCCATGAGAAACAAATATTTTTACATTCTCTACCTACATGGAGAGGTCTACACACATACCTCTGCCCAAATATCTTTGTCACCAATTTTCCAGTTATGGTCTTTCTAAGTTCTTCACTATCCAGCCAGATCATTGACTATAGCTCATGAATCATATGCAATTGCACATCTGGCCATTTCTCCTGCCTGGAAAAATGTATCACTAAGTGCATGGCCTGAAGTTTCACCCAATGGGATAACTTCCCATCACTACTGTCCTTCAGGGACGTTGCAGAAAGGAACTGTAATGCTGCAGTTGTCCACTTACGGGTGGTGCCTGCATAACGTGCAGAGCTGTTGAGGACCACAAATTCACAATGGCTAATTTTGCATACTTCCCTAAGAGATAAAATCAAGGCTTGGGATTATCCATACCTCCCATTTGAGATTTCCTGTTGACTTTCTTAGCATAAGATCACCTATGTCTTCTTGAGTCTGAGTTTTCCAATGAATTGTAGTTTTTATCTAAGCCCGCCTATCAATGTATATACCTAATAAATTGTGGTTGTTTGGAGGAGGACCCATCTAGAGACACTGACTTCCCAGCCACTCATGTGTTACTAAACTTGTCTCTGTTTTTTATTTCTCACTGTACTCTTAACATAGACAATCAGGGCTCATTCTGGGATCATGATACAGAGCCATTTATAAACCAGGCCCTAGCCTGGTTGTCCTCTGACAGCTGATCGTATGGTACACCCCACAAAGCCATAGGTGCATTCTGGGAAACAAGGTAATAGGGCAGGCATAGGAGCCATAGGCATCTGGGCAACTTCCTCATGTAATTTATTAGTACCTTTTGGACCTGTTCTAGCTCAATCACAAATATACCATTTCCATTTAATGATGGACTAATGCTGCACATATCCAACCTTATGACTTGGTGGATCAGATAATATCCAGGCTATGATAGGCAACTCAGGTCACATAGTGACCTGGTATCCCATGGTCAAGCATTCGGTCTCCACTAAGGTTGAGTAGCAGGTCAAGAGCTAATTTTCAAAGGGAGGGTAGTTGTCTGCAGATCATGGCAGAGCTTTGCTTCAAAAACCTAAAGACCTCGCCTGCAATTCACCTATAGGGGTCTGCCAGAGACTCCAAACAGCATCTCTACCTGCTGCTGACACTTCAAGTACCATTGGGTCTGCTGGATCATATGGCCCCAGGAGCAGAGCAGATTGCACAGTGGCCTGAACCTGTTGCAGAGCCTTTTCTTGTTCTGGGCCCCACTCAAAACTAGCAGCTTTCTGACTCACTCAGTAAGTGGGCCAGGGAAAGACACCTAAATGAGGAATGTGTTGCTCCCAAAATCCAAACATCCCCACTAGGCACTGTGCCTCTTTTTTGGTTGTAGGGGAAGCCAAATGCAACTTATCTTTTACCTTAGAAAGAATATCTCTATATGCTCCACACCACTGGGCTCCTAGTAACTTCACTGAAGTAGAAGGA